ACACATAAATAAATAGTCAAACCAGAGAAACTGATAATCCTGCAATGGTCTCTTATTTTTTTCAAGAGCTGTATATATAGATATATTTTTATTCCTAATACCTTAAACATTTAATCAAATAACTTCTATTCTTACAGTTCTAATTTTACATTTACAGGGTACATATTTGTTCAATATTTTGTTTCTGTTTGTCTTTGCACCAATACATAAACCAATTCCATTTATGCGAAAACCAACTTGGAAACAAACCAGAGTCAGATTCTTTACCAGAAGAAGGCGCCACATACTTACTGATGGTAATTAACTGTACGTGACTTTGGATTGAGGTCAAACGTTTAACAGTTTCTCTAACAATCTGTGAACAAGAAGCATGACTTAGCACAAGGGCAACTTTAAAGCATTCGATCACAAAACAGCTTTTAAAAAACGTCTTTTATTATCATCTCAGGAATACAAGTTGACTGCTGTGCACAGCACATACGTACAAAAATAAAAGGAAAACCATTTGTAATATAGTTTTTTACTTACTCATCATCTTTTTTTCAGAAACAAATGATTGGAGAAGTCTGTTGTTTCAAACTAATTTACAATCATTTCAATAATCGGAACTAAGGCAGAAGGTGAGGTATATGTTAAAAAAGAGGAGGGGGACTCAGAGGAAGCACTCTCCCCTCAGTGCAGGAATATAAAACTGAGAGAAACACAAAGGCTGCCGGCACACAGGGACACGCACACACACACAAACACACACACACACACACACACACACACACACACACAAACACACAAATCTGATCCCAGATCCTCCCACAGACCTCTAGTTCCCTGTGAACCAACACATTTGAAAACTAGCCGAACAGGTATGATTAGCACAATGGCAAAATCAAGACACTGAATCCTAAATAAAAGGGGGGGGGGGACATATACCTAGTCCATTCAGAACTCTATGTGCATAATGTGGAATCAAGGAAGTAAGGGTTAATGTTGAAAGGTGACATACCATTAACTACCTTCTCTCAGTTACCGCTGTATCATACAACCTTTTCTGCCTCAAAACAGCATCATGCTTAAGTTGTAGAACTTCTAACAGAGTCATATTTCTCAAGCTTTCAAAATCTGACACCAAGCTGAGTAGCTTTCAGTGTAAACAGCTTAGAGGGGCCATTCTTACTTTGCAATACCCATTCAACTCATCGTTTGTTGTGCTAGCAGTGTTCTCTGAAAAATACAGCACTAAATCAGAAATGTCATACAGTCATAAACACAATGTTGTCAAAAACAGCACTTTTGATCTTGCATGTCTGCTTGTTTAGATGAAAGAGTATGAAGGGAAACTACGGAAGCCAGGAACCTTTAGTTGTATGTGAAACAGGTGGGGGGACATTTCCCAGGTGAACATAAACTGTTTTGTCAGGATAATTTGTATTGTTGTAATACTCATTTTGTCCACAAGAGGGTAAAATGCACGGCTCCTAGTGGTCTATCATGTTTTCTTGCTGCTGATTTTAGATCGCCCAATTAATGCGAATTGTATGTACTCTGTGTTCAGAATTTAGAAAAAAATGTAAAGTGAAGTGGAAGAAAACATTCATGTTTTTAGTCCTAGGACATAAATGTAGTGTTGCACTTCGGCTTCTTGTGGCCTAAATAGGTACTACAACAACAAACGCTTTTTCATAAACACAGGACAATATTTCTTTTGGATCAGGCTAATAAAATTGATCACCAAAATGTATTTTCCCACTTGCCAGTCAGGGATTAGAAATATAATCCGCCCTTGCTCAGTAAATGGCACCATAAACAAAAACAAAAACACATTTTTTTAAATGCACCTTTTGTATACTTTGACAAATCAGCCACAAATACTCGTCCAGCCAAATCCTCACTGCCACACAATTAGTCCATAAAAAGCTACAAGTGATCATTCGCTGATCAAAGTGCACTTTTATGCACAGTATATAACAAGAAAAACTGACCAATTATCAGTGGTGTAATATTCAATAACATTAAACCTGACAGCCCGGGAGTGTCAAGCTGCTCTCTATGATCACAGTATTCAGTCCATCAAACAACCCGTTCACCTGAAGAGTCCCTTTCCTGGAAGCATTCGATTGTTTTTTTAAGTGATCATTTTGCTACATAACTACCAGCTCAAACCAGTCAGTGCTTTCTTCTGACAGAAATCCACTAATAGCCTACGTTATGCCTTTTTCCTCTACTTCTCGTCTTCATCCTCTACTGTGAGGAGAGTACAGTACATCAGTGCGCAGTCAGACAATGCCCTGTTATTCCTGACTCAAGGTAAATTGATCTGATACCATCTCTACTGTCGCTTTGGCAGAAACAGAACATGACAGGAGCATGCTCAGTATGCACACGCACACACACACATGCTTACAAACACACTTCTTCTGGAAAGATACCGCACGTTTGTCTCTGCTACTCGACACAAGCTGGAGCTTAAAGGGCACATGAACTGTCCTACTCACAGACATTTAGTCAGTGCGTTACAGTAATGTTAGAAAGGGCACAAGGTAAAATATGACAACATACAGTATATCTATAACAGCCTGGCTACTTTCCCTTTACCATATTTCACAAACTGGCCTTGACTGGTGGTTTGCTACGTACATAATATTGCAAGTCAAGTACCACAATGTAACAACTGAATTCAAAATCATAGAAAAAAGAAAAAGAAATCAAGCTCTATCATGCCATATTTGACATTAAAAAGACTCTGCTCAGGAGTATAAAGGAGTACGAGAAAGGTGCAGAATCATTCACATCTTCATTGCACATTACAAGACAAACATGTATGCCTTGATCAATAAATAACACAACAGGTGCAGAGCCCCGGAAAACAAAGAAAGTGGTTTAACATCGACCAGAAAACATGCATACATCAGTTATGCAAAGAAAAGAAAGCCCATATCTTTGACCTTGGTATATAAATGGCTGAGATGAATAGGACGAGAACCCACTGCGCTGACCCTCCAGTGTGAGGTCGACGCACAAGGGGCCCGCTCCTCTGATGCTCAGGTATTTTACCCCACATTATTCACATCCTTGCCGAGTTAAACAAACAACCAGTGCCACATGCAGAGTTCCTTATAAGTCCTCTGTACATCATTGCTATCTTCAACTTTGCTTGCTCTTTGCCCTTTCCACCCCGGTCTCCACAATGGAAAACTACCGTATCTGAAAGAGGAGCGCAAGCACTTCAAGTATGGTATGCTGCATACACACAGTCCGAATGAACATTGCAAATAAAAACCCTTGGGTTTACTGCTTTTTGCAACATTGCTAATGTTAATGTCCTGGTTTTGGAAAGTTACACATTTTCTCAAGTGTTTGTTGTAGTTATACTGATTTTGGCCACAAGAGGCTGAAGTGTAATACTAGCCCATTTCCTTTAAACAACTAAACGTATTACTCCACTCTAAACACAAGGTACATATTACTGTGTGTCTTCTAGCTAAATGTATTATGATTATATCAATATATGTATAAATCGTGTTTCAACCATAACTAACCAGGAAACGATTCTCCTGACAAAAAAGAAACATTTATTCAACAGCAGAACTTGTTTTTACCTAACTGACGGATGAGAAAAATGTACGAGCAACTTGAAGAGATTATCCTGGGCAGCACTTAGATCAGATTTAAAAATATCTGCAGATTTGTTTTCCTCACTTGCCTCTCAGGGCTTCCATATATGTCTTGCATTTACAAAATATATGCATGACAATGTATACGTAGCTTTAAAATCTTGGATCCAAAAGCGCAGTCAACATCTTTGAAAAGTCAGACAGACCATCACAGTCATGAACTGTGAAGCAGTTTCCTACACAACTTCAAATGAATGCAGCAAACCATTATATTTACAGTGAACTGACAACTCAATCACCTCCTGTGTAACTTCACTTGTTTCTGCATAAACACTTTAAGTGCCAAATATACTCAAACCAGTGTGAAATCCTCCGCTCCCACTGTCACTTTGCTATCAGGTCTACATTGCAAAAAGAGAAACCTTATAAATTGTCAAAGTACCAAGGCTATACACCAGATGCACCATATTTGACCAACTCAGTTTGAACTGGAGGGAAGTACACAGCAGACAGAAACAGAGGACAATCTTTCTCCATAGTGACAGGTCGATGCTATTTTGTTACACAGACGCTCGCTTGAGCTGCCCTTTTCAATTTGAGCAGCTCTCCATCTGAGTAATTCCTCACACATACTTGAAATAAAAGCATGCCCACATACTGTATATACCGCACACTCATTGTAAAAGTAAAACCGGAGATTGTCAAAGCTCCCTTGGACATGATGGGGGGGGGGGGGGATGCTGACTCTAAATCTAGCTTTCCATAATAACAAGAGGCTCCACTGGGTTCTGTGCAGTATAGAGTCTCAATTACTTAATTGATCTAATTATGGAAAGAAAATAAGTGGAGAAACCTCTGGCCCTTCAGGAATTGGGCTAAAGCCTCCCGGTGGTGTCTGAGGGAGAGATGACTTGCGTTTCATTCCTATTTCTGACTTGAGCACCGCGTTTCTCGCATGCAAGGGTAAGGGGGCCGCAAGTAGGAATTCAAGGCACCACCATCTCATGACAAAGCAAAGAAAAAACACCGCCATATTTGCAAGTGCTGTAGTTGCCCTGACCGTGAAGGAGACAATTGAACAAAGAGGAAGGGAAGTGCTCAAGTCCTTGATGGATGACAACAGAAACATATTCAGTAAACAGGCATTCTTCTCTGTAGACATTTCATGCACACATTTCTCTTTTTCTTCTTGCTCTTCTTCTCAGGATATGGTGCTTTGAGGTAATAACGTATCCATTTCATTTCCAAAAGGATGAACTGTCATCTGCGGACAGGCCAAGGACTCAACCAATTCCAGCAAGCACCCATATAAACTGGGGATGAATGACGCCTCTCCATCCCCTCCATAATCACAAAATTATGAAAATCATAAAAGCAGCAAAGAATGGCATTTCCATAATTTCTAATACAAAGGAAGCTACCCAAATATACATATAAAGTTTGAATAAATACTATCAGATATAGTGGTATTTCTTTCTTTTACAGTCCGTGTTGTCTTTTGTGTTTGTACGTACGTATATGGTATTTATGTTACCTGGGAAATAATCCACATGTGCAAAAGAGTTTGTTATTGCCATCATATCCGGGGTAGGAAGTGCGTTACAGTCATGGCAGTGGTGGCCTTGTGGCCCCTCTTCACGCGGCCATGCTTGCTGAGTGCTATGTAGGAGCCTCTGTAAACCAGAGACTCGTAGGCGTTGTAGTTGTTGGCGAGCATGCTCTCCTTGAACTGGCACTCGTCATGGAAGACTTTCTGGAGAGGACAAAGAGACAGACAGCCGGAACTTTAATGAACTGCTTAAAGAAAAATAGACAGTTTGTAGTTTAAAGATATGATGACAAATAGTTCAAAGGTTCTCTAAAAAATGGTGTGCAATGCATACAAATATATACATTTAGATTACACAGAGCAACATAGACAATAAAGAGTCATCTTTATGCAATGTCCCAGTAGCACCAAGCATTCTTATTAGATGTGTTCTAATACATCTGCTGATATTTAACACATGAATCGCTAACACTTCATCACTCATAAACAGATAATAGACTCACATTGTGTCTGCCAAATTGCTATCAAATGTTAGTCTTTTTTTTGTTAGATAAAAAGATTGCCACCACTCTCTTGTTTGTACTGTAAACATGTAGCTAAAACCAGGATATGATTAGCTTAGCATCAAGACTGGAAACAGCTAGCATGGCCCAGTTTAAAGGACACCTATCATGCTATATTTAAATGATATATTGTAGGGCCATACCTATATAAGGTATATTTATACGTTTCTGTTTTCAAAATACTAAACAGATCATGCATTTTAGCCATGCCTCATTTCGCTCTATGTGCTGTTCTCCAGCCCTGTTTTTGCAGGGCGCTGATTCTGTGAGCTGCAGCTGACCACGCCCCCCTGCAGGAGAGGGGAGCCGCTCTGATCAAGTCAGAAGAGGGGGAGAAAAATAGATCTCCGTCCTCCGTGTTTTATTATATAGAGCCGTTATTCATTTGTTTTAAAGCTCAATAAATAACAAAGACCACCTTTGACCGGCACTTTTCTAATTTTGTCCGGAAGATTTAAACTTTAACGGACATGTTGACCGGCGAAAGAAAACCTAACTGAAACTCTGCCGCACGGTCCCCTCGTTCCTTGGAAGAGGCGGAGAGGTGGGTGTTTGTCATCTGCTGGTGGACTAACCGGAGAGAATTACAGTGCTTGCCTCGACGGGGAGGGATTGCATTGAATTACAGCAGCGGGAGCAAACGCTTGCCTTGGGGAGGGAGAAAAAAAGCCACAGCGGAGAATAAACAGAAGGGTAACCATGGTAACCATGCGCGGGAAGTCTTCTTCGCTGCTTTTGTGGCAGACTACAGCGCCACTTACAGGCCTGGCATATGTACTACAGCGTCTCCAGCGCTGTCGAGCAGCAATGGCCGGCCGTGGCCCAACCCCACATTCCCCTGATAGGTGGAGAGTTGGCCCAATAGCCGTAGCGCCACCGTCCTGACGTCAGGACAGTGTTCAAATCTGGATCAGTTTTTATCAGATCCGTTGCAGCCCCTTTTTTAGAGATTTGGGATATGGAGGAAAATAGAGAGGGTTGTGTTTTCTGACACTTGGTGAGTTCCCTGGAACACCGGGGACACATATTCATGTATAAAAGACGTACAAAAGTGCATTTTGCATGATAGGTCCCCTTTAAAGGGAACTGAATCTGCCATACCAACACGTCTTAAGATCACCAGTTTACAATCTTATGTCCGCACATAACCACATATTACTACAATGCCTGTTTAATGCGTAACTGGGGCTGATAGATCCATGTTTTTAACATTTACAGACACAAAGAGAAGAGTGTTGCCCTATGATTCTAGCTGTTATGCTAAACTAAGCTAATGGTTTTCCACAGCTTCTAATTTGACAGACAGATAGTGGGGTATCAATATAATCACACTAATCTAAATACACTAATTTGCCACAGTAGAGAACAATATGACGTGCCTGCCACCGTGCTGACAGTGCATGTCTTGTACAGTGTGCAGCAAACACTCCCCATCAGAGCCATGTGGCCTAATTCAATCTCTTATCAGATCCTCAGCCCACTCACAAGCTAACGCTTCATCACTCACGAGCAGATAACCGGCTCACATTGTGTCTGTCAAATATGTTGGCCACAGCGAGCAAAGCAGCGGCCATTTGTCAGCAGGGCTCTACTAAACACAATGTTTCCCCCCCCCCATGTATAGGAACATTCGTATATTAATAACTGCCACTGCTCCAGAAGCAAACCAACTACATCTTCCACAGCGTACAAATGAGTAATGCTGACATAAAAGATTTGCAATATAATTAAATGAAGTGTGTTTGATAGAGTTAAAGAGTTAAGACGTTATGGTGCAAAATGCCAGCAGAATTTCATATTTAAAAACATCCAGCATACTCAACAGTAGGATCGAATGTAGGCTTCGAGGGACTTACATTTACACACAGATAATGAAATTAAAATTATCACATAACTTAAGAGGTTGATTTGTGTAGCTATTCCTAAATAAATTGTTTTAAATCTGTGTAATATTAACAGTATATATCCTCATTGGTGCTCTTACACCTTTTAGGAAACCTGTAAACTGTCAGAGCTCCATCACTGTTGTAAAGCTAAAGTGTCTCCATGTTTTAAATCGAGGTGTTCTTTGAGGATGACAATAGAACGAGTACATTTTGCAGTTTGCTGAGAATGGCACACAATCGTAAGGCTATGAGGAGATAAAGTTTATTAAAAAATGTTCACTAAATAAAAGGCATTAACTAGAATTTAAAAGGCCTGTTTCAGATTATTTGGAGGCTGGAGAAGGAGCCGTTTGTAAATTGAGCCTTTCACTGATGTGTGTTTGTGTGCACTGCCCTTCAAAATAAACGCTTTGCCGTTAAAATCGATCTCCAGCTCTGCTGACAGGTTTCATTGCGTCAGGGGGGTTTCCCTCCCCCTCTTACACACATACGCATCTGTTAACCTCATCATTATTTACCCATAGGCCACCAGGCTCTAGCATACTTGCTTGAAATAGAGCTTTATACATTCCTGATGATATTAAAATATAGGGGATTTCGCAACACATAATGAACAGCCCCCCTGCTGGCAGAGAGGGCAGCATCCCAAATAAAAGAGCTGCAAGTGCGTCCTATTTCCAGGCTCCCAATAACCAACATTGCTGGACAATAAATGAAATACTGTGCATACCTACCGTTCCGTATAACCTCCCACGGCTGTTCATTGCGACAAACAACTCACTCTTCACCCCATACAGGCTCACCACTCCTCTGTCCACCGTGGATATCTCTATTAGACCTGATGCAAGACAAAGAATGATGACATTAGAGTGGAAATAAAATGAAATACTCACCGACCGTGTTGATTTGTCATGATGACTGTAGCATTGTGTTGTCTCTGCGTCTATGGGTGTAACCTTGCAGTTTGCTGCGCATGCATGCCGAGCCTTTGTTCTGCATCTTTCACCCCATCTTACATTTGCACCCAGGCGCGCGACAATTAAGCGCACTGTGGTTATTGCAATAATCGCAGTAATTGCATTGACGTGCACGGCTATTGGTCTCTGGACCGCCCTCACAGGGCTGCGTAAAAATAAGTTGTGTCTAAAAGCGTCCATACATTCATGTCATGGTTGAGCTTGGGGGAGAGGGGGAGGAAAGGGGGTGCTCAGCACTGATGGATATACTTATTTCTATTAGATTTGTATTTCCCTCGGAAGACATTAATTCTCCATCTCCATCAGAGTCGGATGACATATGATCATGCAAATTAATAAAGGGGATACACTAGCCTGCTCATCACAGATCCATGCTTATTGACTCTTTCCTAATGTATATTGCATTACATCGGGGGAGGTTTAACTCACTGTACTGGTTTTCATTATGTACACCGTTTATCCTGCCGTCGGGGAGGACCTGAAGGTGAAACCCGATGCCCACGTTGCAGTAGAGCCTCCGCACTCTTTTGATGCCCAGCAGATAGTCATTCTCCCAGTTCAGCTCCGGTTTCTGCCCGGAGATCCCCAGTACAGAGCGGGAGAAGAGGGTCTCCCATCGTTTCTCCAATAAAGTTGCATTTGTCCGGCTGCTCGGTAAAGGGTACGCTGACACGATCCCCAGCAGAAAGCCCAGGAGAACCACCGCGGTCAGCGTCCAGTGCGGCGTGCCGGCCTCGCAGGACATACTGACGAGGAGCCTTTGCGCAACGGCCATCCGGTTTACCTTCGGGCCACGTGGTCGAAATTAATGACCCTAAAAATACCGCTCTTCTTGTTTTGCTTCCTTCGGCATGCTGGCTGAGGGTTATTTTTGGAGCGCGGATCAGGGCTTTGGGCATGAAACGCAAGCCCCGGTGCAGAGGAGGAGAGGAGACGGGAGAGTGCGCGGCAGAGCTGGAGGTGATGGTGATGGTGATGGTGAGCTTGGTGCTGGTGATTACCATGTTTTGCAGCTCCACCGCGCCTCTCTCTCTCACACACACACACTCTCTCTCTTCCCCCCCTCTCGGTAAGACTTCGGAATAAATCCTCTCCCTCTCACCAAAAACCCTGTTTCAACATTGCCAGGGCGAACGCATCCCTGGATGACATCATGCAGACCGCTGGGACTATGCAAGGGTAGAGAAGGTGCTGACAGCAGGAAATATACCAAGTGTGTGTGGAGAGTTGGGGGGGAATAGTCTAACTGTCAAAGCTGGACTGGAAGGGGAGAAAGCTTATTGGTGACGTTTAGTGGCCGTGGGCCGCGATGGGGCACTGGGGCTGCTCCCAAATTGGGTCGGTGGTCATATGTCTGTCAGGCCGCTTCCTTATTTAGAAGGAAGGTGTAAAAACAGGCCTACTTGTCACCGGAGAGCAATGACAGGGCTCTTGTGGTCCCACTTCTTCAGCTGCGACGTTCGAGAACTTCCCCCTCAGTAAATGTGGGGTTTTCTGGGCATACAAAAGAGATTATCAGAAGGGTGTGCCCCCCCCGATCCGCAAAGATCAGGGTTCAAGGCCTCAGTGTGGGTCAGCATCCGCCCTGCTGACGTGTCCTTGAGCAAGACTTCCGCCCTCAGCTCTATACAGCAAGGTTGGGTAACGGAGGCCCGGGCTGGCATTTTAATAAAGTATCATATGTTTATGGTCCACCATAACCGGTGCATTTCCCATGGTGAGAACTACAAGGAACAAACTGGAGAGGCCCGTCATGAAATGGCACACATTGTCAGGATGCCATTCCCTGCAACATGAAAGCCTATCGTCTTTTCCATGTAATAGATAATGCCACCAGCAGCATGCCCATGCGTCAGTGAGGTCAGTGCAGTTGCGCACCAGCAGGCTCTTCTGCACACATCAGTTCCCCGAGATCTCCAAAGGAGGGCGCCATTTACAAGTTCATTGGCTCTAGTTCTGTACAGCCTTTAGACTTTGTGTCTGTACGGTCTGTACACCAAAATACATAGGGATTTTGGGACATTAAACACTCTAAAAATTATAATCAATAATGCACAATAATCCAAATGAATATTATTATTTTTAATATTGAGAAGGACAATGTTCGATCAAATTACTCAAGGACAACATCTCCAACAATGCAGTTCATTTATTTTGTATAAAATCTATTTGGTAACTGTAATACACAATCTGCTGAAAATATCGTTAAAATGTAATACAACTTTTTGTTATGGCTGAATGCATTTATGAACACATGTGACTGAAGTTGTATGACAATAGTTGTATTATAAAAAACCTGATCAATCACATCATAACACAATGACTTCTGGCCTGAACATAGTCAGACCATTGGCACTTTCTTTATATGAAATTAAACAGTTTGGTTGAGAGTAGAGACAGAAAACAGCTCCACCCATAAAGATAAATGTAATGTTTTTGTTATGTTGAACAAGAATACAGATCTCAGTTAAGAAGAAAGAAGTGGTTATAAAGACCTAGATAAAGCAGTATGGATCAAAATGATGGTTTCTTATTTGCACCAAAAAAAAAGATGCAACGTTTCAGTTGTGTGTCAGGAATAAGGTTTTCAGCCATTCAGGTTTTCATGTGAATAACAACCACAGGGGGAAATGTCTGACAATTTCTGCAATATGATGGTGAAGTAATCAAAGCAACAAGATCAAATGTGTAATGATAAAATAAATTATAGTTTGATGATGCTTCTATACCACATCTATACAAATAATTTATCTTTTTCACAGAAACTGTTTTCGCCCCTGCACCTCAGAAAGATGCCAAAGAGGCCAATAGTTTAATATGCGCTATTTTGTATTAAAAGCATAATAAATAAATACATATGTACAACATTTTTTTTTTAAAGATGTACAGGCACTTGTAAAACAACCTTTTTTCTGACACTTCAGCTTCTGCTTTCGAAAATATTTTCCTGTGCATTTCGCAATGAAAGGGATAACCCAGCTGCTGAAGGGTTCTGCTCAGCAGTGGTGTCGACATGACAAACAAATCCTCTGCCGCTTTTACTTCTCTCCTGCTGAGCCCGCCTCAGGCCACAAGATCCTTCAGGACTATTTGGATCTGCTGAAACTAATTCTTCACCCCTGGTGTAGGTTCAAACAACCTGGATACTAAGGAACTCACTTACCGGTTTCAAAACAAGCATGTTGTCTAACACCGACAGGCCTATTCCTAAAGCTCAACTAAAGGCCACAACACATTAGTGTATCATACAGCATCTTATAGACCAGGCTAAAGTCAACAGTTTATTACATCTGGTCTGAAAAAACTGTCCGTTTCATTAGCCTCACACTTAAATATTACTCATGTTTTCACACCGTCTGTCCTCCATGTTATGTATACTCATACACACACCTCAACTAATATTAGACTCAATATACAGTGCCTTCTCTTGCATCATTTTCAGTAACCAAATATTTCTATTTACTGCGTTATTTTCATTTTTTTTGGTCTTTAAGGAATGGTTGCTATGAAGTGAGCTTCCATCAGAAATCCCCCTACATGTTTACATACAGCACTATGTAACAAGTCCATCCGGATGTCCTAGATTGTCATTTGAGAAAACAGTAAAACGTAAAGATTTAAGCAGCAGGGAAAGCGTATTTTCAGTGGCATGAAGACAGGATGGGACACTAACAAACATGTACTAACCTGAGACGACTGTCCTGATCAGAAGCATAGTTGGACAGGATGAGCGGCCCGCTAGACTAGATTATTTGTTTTTTATCTAGACAGAGGACGTTTAACGCAGTTCCAGTAAACAGCTTCATTCTAAAAACGCCACAGTCGATAACCTCACCTCAACAGGTTGCATAACAAAATTCCCATAGGGATATACAGTAAGTTTGTATACAAAGTATTTACAGTGAAACTGTTTATTTAGTAGATGACACTAGATAGTGGGGAGGGTAACATCAGATTACAGCTGAATTTTTAAAAGGTATGCATACAAGTCATGTAATGGGGAATACTATGCAGCCTGTAAAAGTGTTTTATAACGTACTCAGTGGCTCTGGAGGAGCTTTGTCAAGTCCCAGAGAAAAACCCTGATCTTAAATTAGATTGAAAAGATAAAAAGGAAAGCTGCAAATTAAAGTGATGGCATGGAGTTTAAAGATGATGGCACTTAGGTAGGGAAGGTATAAAGAAAGATTATTCAGCAGGGCTCCAAACTCACTTCTTGATACCCTTTTGGCACAGCATGGTATTTATCAATGAGATTAACCAAATCAGACGGACTGGCTAAAGTGCCAGAGTCTTGGTAGTGCATGCAATGGCTTGCAGCAGAAAAATTGAAAAAGACGTAACTTTTAAAGAAACATAGCATAACATAACATAACCCTATACAGTCAGAAGCCCTGTATATAGCTGTATTAAGGGAAATGTAGGCAATCAATCATTTTATTTTCATAAAAGCAAACACTTTTCAAGGCGTTCTGGAATCAGTAGTGCATTGTTGAGTTCCCGCCCATGGAACCTGAATGATTGATATATTATAATGATTCCATTGCTCCCACGTTTTACCTCCAAGTCTCAGCTTTTAAGGTCCTTTTGGTCAAAGATGATTTGACTGCCCAAATAGATGGCGATGGCACCGAAAATGGCAGAGCAGGCGATGTAGGCAGTGACGGACTGCGCAAACTGAACGATCATGCCCATGAAGAGGGTGGGGAAAACCTGAGAGAGGAGGAAGGTGCTGTCTAAGATGGCAAAGTCCAAACCCACGCCACGTTTCTCAAACCCCGACTCGACCTCCTCCTGTTCCGTGCCACCGGGGCTGTGAGACGAGCCGTTCTGCTTCAGGGGACCGGGGTAGTACTCATAACTGTCTTTGTTGAACAAAGGGAGCGCGTCTTCCACAGGAGGCGAATAGTCCCGCTTGGGTGGAATACCATTTATATGCACACTTTTGGTTTTCCTTTTTGGCATATAGATCTGAAATGAGATAAGAAAGGTGTCAAGTCACCAAAATATACAGATTAAGGGCCTAGAAAAAAATGCTATGAGGACACATTCTCCATAGTTAAGACATCTTTACATACCTCTTTCTCCTTGTGGTAGTGGCAGGTGAGTGTGTAGGGCAGAGTCTGCAGTGTGGCGTACGCATATCCAGTGAGGGAAGCCATTACAGTGACCAAGACCACACTTTTGGACAGGCAGATGACCAAAGCAGAGAAGGTGAAGGTCACCATGCTGCTCATGTAGACCCACCGAGAGCCAAAGTGTCGAACCAAGCGACTCATGACCAGGGAGAAGAAGGTTGAGGTAGCACACTGCAGGAACAGGCCCAGGCTGCCCATACGGATACCTGGAAGAATACAATGGAAGTTCAATTTATATTATGTCGTCAGTACAGATGATCTTGGATGATGCGAGTACCTAAATAAACACATTTAGTCAGTTACAGTTGACCTTAACATGTATCAGTGATTTTACTCTTGTGATGTGTCTTAATGACAATCTCAACCCATAGTAGCAAAGGGAAACTTGAGAAAAACCAACAGTCACTACCACTAAAGGTAAACACAATGCTCAAACAATAATATTACAACTGCTTTTCATAAGAAAGTCACCTAATGTGTTTTTTTAACCAGTCCAGAACAATTACACAAGCTTTTGCAGCCTCTATTTGACCTCTGCCATTACACTTGATGTGAACATGAGCATTTACATCTTTAGACAGAATCACAGAAAGCAAGTTTTCAGTCATGACAACATTTGTAATACATTTGAACCTTAAGGCTTGTGTTTACTGATGGAAAATTGTTCCATCTTTCCCGTTTATCCACACATATGCTTCACCCCTGAATACAAGGTTTTTTTCCATTAAAGTAATAATCTATGGAAGAGGGAGTGACGACATGTCTGGCTTTTATTTATTTCTGCGTGCTATCAGCCTGATCTCCCAGCTCTCAGAACAGTGAGGGTCAGGAGTTCAGCAGCGGAGTAGAGAATCACTTACGGGAAAGGAGTACCTGGATCATATTTCTCCTGGAAAGCAAAGCTGCCGAGCCCACTTTACAAACACTACAGAAGCTAAGCACCGAAATACAACCCTACGAGATACGGGGCAGAGCTACAATGCTACTGAATCTGTGCAAAGGGAAACTGCTGCATTATGGGTTAAAGTTTCATAGATAACTACTTTGTATCCCCGTAGGAACATGATCACAAAAACATAAAGCAGCTACTGTTAAAACAACAAGGAACTACAGACAAAGCAGAATACTTTGAGCAACATCTGCAGGGTGTAAGATGTGGTTAAATAACATCCGCTGTGTTTCAGATTAAACAAACGCAGCTCAGTCTCAGACAGGCCTCAGCATTGTGTGCTTTGGCCGTGTACCTGACTTGAATGAACATGCTCTTTGTGTGCCGATTCCTTGACATTAATTCTTTGTGAGTGTGACATTCCTCGTGGTCCAGCAGGCACAGGGAGGAGAGACAGAGGGAAAGTAAAAAGTAAACAAAGTGGGGAGGGAGGGAGGGAGAAGAAAAGAATGTGGATGGAGGGATGGAAATGTGAAATGAAAGAGGGAGAATGGTGTGAGAGAGAAAATGAGGATCAGGGGAGGAGAAAACAGGTGGAGGGCAGTAGGAAAGTTACAATTTAAATCATAAAGGAATGAGGGGTGATGGAAAAGGGAAAAAAAGGGCGAGACAAATGGTGGAAGAAAGGAAGTTTGGCGGAACGATAAACTACACTTGACTCCGACATGACTCACTGTGTTAATAAATATCATGGACAATAGTTCTAACTCTCATTCATTAACATCAGCGCTTTTACGAACCTTTCCCCTTTTACGGTTCTTTCTCAAATTGTCTGTTAAAATCTACCAAAGAAAGAAGTCTTCCTCTTACACCACTTACAGCAGATTTGGTTGGGTCTATCTAAAAAGTTATAAGTAGGTAGAAACATAGGCACAGCATTTGCATAGCTTTACACTTTAGCCATTCAACTGTCTCGCAGGATTTGTTAATCAAATTTAAAGAGCAGGAACAGGAAAAGCTGCATTTTTTTGTTGTGCTATTTATAAGTGCCAGGGTAGGAAGTCATACCTGAAACTCCTTGGAATGACAATGCGATAAACATACTTGTCCCTAGGCATACCTACACAAAATGTTCACCATCTCATTTAAAGTGTCCTGACAGAGAATCTATGGTAACTTCTTCTCTGCTGTCTGACACTTTGACAGGAGCTCAAATGAGGGCAGCAGCAGCAGGGCGTGCAGGAACACAGGCTCCGTCCTCCACCTGTGCCCGAGGAATGTGAGAGCATCCTGCCCAGCTGGGACAGCTCAGCCAGGACCCCGAGCCACTTTATGGTGGAGGAGGTGAAGACACCAAGGAAGGACATGTCTCACTAGCTCAATGTGAGTTTGTTTCATTCTATGTTGTCACGATGAGGGAAATGAGAAAAAAAAGTTTGATCGAAAATGTTTTCTGTACTGTGTTACCAGTTCTTTACCAGGTTAAAAAAAGCTTTGCAATGATTTTGTATCTCAGTTCCTTAAATAAATGGATTTTGAGTAACATGCCGGGAAATATAGGATGCCAGGGTTAATTTGTTTGTTGTTGTAATACTCATTTCAGCCACAAGAGGCTGAGAAGCACCCCTTCCTCGTGTAATGTGTTCTTTCAGGGGAGCATTCATTTCTTCAATTGGAACAAAAGGGACATAAAAGTTGACAAAAAGAAAGAAACACAGAAAAAGATGTTAAATTAAGCTAACATAACACATTATTGTACTGTATAACGAGGAGATCTGACCTTCATCGTATCGTTGCTTGGACACGCTTCCCGGTGATGCGCTGGGCACGCCCTCGTAGAGGCCTTCCCCCACAAAGTCTGTGTAGAAAAGCATAAAAGACATGACGGCCATCCAGCTGCAGAGCTGAGCCACACACAGCTGCCGCATCACCCGCGGGACGTGGCAGTAGCTCCTGTAGATGGCGGGGGTCATGGTCCAGCAGGTCCTCAGCAGGCACAGCAGGGGGCCGGACTTCAGGAGCCTCAGCTTGCACTTCAGCAGGTAGCAGCAGGAGCGCGGCACCCCGCACCGGGCCCCCTCTATCGTACCGGGCCCCGCCTCCAGCAGAGATCCAGGTCCCGCCAAGACGCTGCTGGGACACGAGGGTTCCTCAGACACCTTCATGGTGATGAGCACACTGGTGACGAAGATGATGATGAGGATGGAGAAGAGGCACTCGGCCTGGCCTCCTAGGTAAACAGAGAGCAGGCCACTACTCCAGTCCAGTGAGGGGAGCAAATATCCCACACAGCCTCCCAAGCTGACCATGAAGGAGAACATGGCAAAGGCCTGCCCGCAGTCCTCCTCGTCCTTGTAAAGGTCCGACAGGAGAGCCTCTAGTGGTGTGAAGCACACCTGTCCACAGAAGTCAAGAAGCCCCACCCCGAGGATAAGGAAGCCCACCTGTAGCAAATGGTAGAATATGTGTTAATTCCCGTCTTGTAGGAAGAATTCATAAAGACAATAAGCAGGTGTCTTACCTGGAGGGTGCGCCCGCCCCAGGCAAAGTGTGCAGCCAGTAAGTCGGCGTTGGGAATGATGAAAAGTGCCAGAAGAACTCCTAAAGACAGCAGCCAGATGAACGGCCGCCGCCTTCCATAACTGCTGTTGCACTGGTCACTGGCTGAGCCAATGAGAGGGATGAACAGCAGGCCGAGCACTGGACCAATACCTGTGGACAGAACCAGAAGTACAATGTGGTTAGGATAGAAGAACACGAGGAGGAGAGAAAGATGCAGATGTCAGGGGCAAAGTAGAAAGAAATGTGGATATAGGAACCAGGTATTTCCCTTCTAAAACACTGTCACACTTGTCAAATATGTATGACATCTTTGAATCACACTTTGCATTTCCACTGATACTTTCAGAGCAGATTTTCACAATATCCCACGCCAGAAACACAGGCGTCGGATCAAATCGCTGTCAGTTTTAGTGGCTTAAAACAGCTTCTGACTGGTAGACTGGTGTTTCTTATCCCTCAGCATGTCTTCTAACAGTCGTGTCTCGTCTTCCCTGCTGCTGCACTACCGGGGGGGGGGGGGGGGGAACTGCATGTGCTGCTCTGCCATCATCTCAGACTGCTGGTGCTGTTTTCTACAGATGGCCCGCTGCCTGAAGGTAACCCTCCCTCAGCTCAGCCTCCACACGTTGTCGGTCTGGCTAATTAGAACACACCATGATACATGGGATGTTCACATACAGCCACACATGCAAGATCGAACGCCGCCCAATCTTCGCAATAGGGTTTGACTTTTAAGAAGTAGCCTGTGGAGTTTTCATGATAGACAAGGATGATTTTTCTTGCAATGTTTCTCATCAACAGGCAATTTGTGTACGCACGGCCATATTGTGAATTCATGTCTGGGCAAACGTTAGTGCTGTCAATATTTCGGTATTTAAATCAAAACCAATTCTGGATTCAGTAGATAGAAAAGATAATTTCGTCATCTACTGCAGTCCACTGTTTAGCAAGTTACGGCATGAAAGCAGATTAAAGTGGGTATAATATTTTGGTTTTCACGACATCAATTCAAAATCTTAGAAGACAAGACAATCAAATCTTACATGGATTGATTTTTCACCTGATCCGTAATGCATGCAAGACATAAAATACTAAGAATTCTGGGACATTTTTATCAAAACATCGCTGTTAAAGCACTACAGGAGTGAAAATAACTCCACAGCAAAGAAGAATTAATAAAAATATACAACCTTTGCGCTTTCTACAGTTTGACAAGAAACCCAGACAACACTTTGTGCCTTTCTTGTGTCTGAAATAAAGCTTCAAAACCTTGAAAAAGCAGAAAGACCATACAGAGAGACAGATAGACAGACACGAGGACTGCAGCCCCCCCACCACATTTCTTCTTGCTGCAGCTGTGAAGGCCCGTCATAACAATCCTCACCATACAGCTGGAAGACTTAGGCTGGTGCCCCACGGGAACGAAAACGGGTTGTATCCGCATATTTCTCTTGCGTATAGCCCTTTTTGCCATACGAGGCCGTAACAAAACGATAGAAACAGACCCCGCAAACGACAACGGGTCCAAAGGTGGATAGATCTGGGAACGGAGCGCTCTGGGGGGTCCAACGGCTCCGTGTGGTAGCCTCTATACGATCATTTTGCGATAATGACGACGCAATAGCCCCGCCTCCCCCCACCTCTGCTGCTCACCCCCGCAAAAGTACACTGCACACTGAATTCAGATTATTTATCTTTATCTCGATATGGACATAAACGCGAGTGAAGTCTAATCTGACAGGACGGAGACACGCAGCTCCTGCCGCTGTGAAGCAGCGGGAGCAAAACACACACTTCAAGTTAGATCATCACCCTTAGCTATTTTAATTACCTCTCAAACTAAACTAGTTATAAATATGTTTATTTTTACTGTCGAGTCACTCATTACTGGATCAGCTGCTGCATGAGACAGACACTGACGCTGTCAGAAGAGAGGAAATAGAGACAGCCTCTGTGTATTTTATCATTATATCGTCGTTATTCATTCGTTTTAAAGCTCAATAAATAACAAAGAAGACCTTTGACCGGCACTTTTATAATTTTGTCCGGAAGATTTAAACTTTTACACACGTTGACCGGCGAAAAACTCTGCCCGGATCCCTCGGCCCCCACCGGAGAATAAACAGAAGGGCAACCATGACGACCATGCTTCTTCGCTGCTTTTTGTGGAGGAAGTTACAGCACCACGTACAGGCTCGGCATATGTACTGCAGCTTTTTCCAGCGGTTGGAGCTAAGCGGAGCTGTCTCGTGTGAACAGACACTATCCGGTGTATATTGCGTGTGGACGGAAGCTTTTTTGCGATTGCGATTGCGTTAATCCTATGCGTTTTGCCGTATGCGTCCTCGTGGGGCACCAGCCTTACTGTCTCACATATATCCCCACTCAGTAGCTTCTCACTGCTATATACTATACATCACACCAAAGCATGCTTTACAGCCTCTGAATACATTGCAAGCTGTCTACACACACACACACACACACAAATCAGAGTGTTGTTTAACACACACAATCGATATAACATGTGTCACATTCCCCAATGCACTTTGTTACTTATAGACCAAAATAATGCTTTAAATAACACGAGTAACGGACACCTCAGTGTCTTCTCGACTATCAGAGAGGAAACTAGAGAAAGAAAGTAACAACTGGAGGATGAAGCAGCCAACAAATGGCTTTCAGATCAAGTAGAAAGCAGCCATCTGAGAACCTGACACTTATGCGCAGGGAAATTAGCTTTAACCCTCCCAAGACACATTATCTATCTTCATGCAGATAACACTCAGGCACTCCATTATAACAAAGCAAGATTAGAATTAGGTTGAGTGCCATTTCCAGATTGGTTTACAGGAACTACACAATCAAATCATTTTTCTTGATATCACCGGCAGCTGTTAGAGGAGTAGAAGTGTATACCGTTTAATTCTTTATACTTGAATAGTCACTTCTGTGGAAGACAGATAATGCAACTATGCACACTGCGCACAAGTAAACTCAGTTACAGTGAGCAAACATATACCGTACCGACGATGCAGACTGTCAGTGGGGACACGCATGTCACTCATTTGTGAGCAACCAGATGAGTGACATTTTTATAAAACAAACCCGTCCAGCTTGATGTTTGCATTAGGAAGCGTTTGGATAAATTCCTCCAGGCTATTGATAGATTGAAGAGGTCTGACGCAACTGAAGCCACGAGACCAAACTGAATTATACGTTATCCAGACATAATGGAGCAGTCATCAGCTGCTCCACAAGGCCACAGAGCTAAATTAGCCACGTTTTACGACTCTTCCCAGAATCCCTAGATGATGTCGGTGTGTCTCATTGTAAAAATGAGTAAAATCTTTGGTTTCTTGTGCGAAAAAAAGAGAAAGATATAATCACATTAACAACCCTAGATTAAAATGTTCTTTTTTCATTGAAACCGTTACAGATTCCTTCCACAGTATACTAATTGTAGAGGATATAGTGTTGTAATGCAATATATTGTAAACTTGTTCTTGCATTTTTCCATTATCAAAAATAACTTGAATTGCATGACCACAATATACTTTTTTGAAGATGTCTGTGCCGTTTTGATTCAAACACAAGCTGCATGCATGATACTTATATTTAAAATGTGTGTGTTGAATTTAGTCAATGTGTACATTTTGTACATTTTAAAGATATTTCAGCAAAAACAATGTTTTCTATTTTTTTCCCTGTGTTTTTTGGTGGCAACCCTATTTTAGACTTATGTTAGAGGCTCTCAGTTTATCCTACTAACATCTGGCATTTTTTTTTATACCAAGGAGGGGTGTCTTTAACAGCAGGGGAACAATGTCTCTAAATTGCTGCTGTAAAGCAAAATGCTTCTTCCAGTTCAGATCCACACTGTAACTCAAATTCCTGACAGATCCCATGCTAATAAATACAGGACATTACATAAAACAGCATACAAAATACTTAGGAAAATTAATTGATTGCTATTTCCTACATTACACACATATTACACCGTAATTATACCCATGCTGTTACTCCCATGTTATACCAATGATACACCAATATCACAGCCCGTAATTACACTGTTATTACACCCACATTATGCATTAATATACCCCTATTACACCCATGTTATACCAATATTAAACCGTAATTACACTACCATTACACCCATTTTAGACATGGACACAGCCTGCCAAATGACTGTTTCCCCTAGGATACGGATAACCATTTAAGGGTTAAAGGTCACCTATCATGCAATTTTTAGGCAATAGCATAGGTCTCCGACAGGCACGTGCACACAGACATCAAAGTGGGCTTGAGCCCCTGCCCTTTTTCTTCCTCCAGAGAAAGTGCCCTTTTTTTCCCCTTTTTTATTTTTTAAATAAATGAATATATATCTACTGCTGTTTGCGCACAGTTTTCCTTTCCAAAAATATATTGATTGATCGGCAGTCACTTCAAACAGACAGATAGCAGCACCTCCCACCTTACAGTCCCATGTTATGCCGGCTTTTCTTGGCTTATTTTGAAGGTGAGTGGTGATGAACAAATGACTAAGCTGCCAGTGCCTCGAGTTTACAGCTAAAAGACAATAACAAATATAGTTAACTAAGGCTACTAGCTAATGGATAAGTTAGCTCAAGGTTTAGCTAAGGCAATTTATCATGGGCATACAGGCTAATGTAGCCTACTGTACTTAAGGGGAGACACTAAAGATGAATACAGTAAAATGTGTATCTAATAACGTCATCACAATCGCTACATTGATATGCAAATTAGGCGTTAACTAGGACACTAGTAATAAAGTACTATTTTATCTCTTATCTTATCTTGATTAAAATGTGCTAATTTGCATGCAGTTACCAAGGCATTGCAGGTGAAAACGATAAAACAAACAAAAAAAATGTTCACCTCACAACTTCCCCAGATAGTTACTTACGTCAAGTCAGTATTTTCCCCTGAAATGTTGTGCTTAAATGCAGATTAGCTTTAAATCTATAGATAACTTCATCATTTTGATTGTTGGCTGCTCATTTAATAACTATTAATTTTACTAGTTTGTGGTCTGCTCTTGTGTGTAGTGAATATAGAAGACCATTGTCTCTGTGTTAACTATATTTAAAAGGGGACCTATCATGCAAAATGCACTTTTGTACGTCTTTTATACATGAATATGTGTCCCCGGTGTTCCAGGGAACTCACCAAGTGTCAGAAAACACAACCCTCTCTATTTTCCTCCATACCCAAATCTCTAAAAAAGGGGCTGCAACGGATCTGATACAGACTGATCCAGATTTGAACACTTCTATGTCGTCACAGAAGTGGCGCTACGGCTATTGGGCCAACTCTCCACCTATCAGGGGAATGTGGGGTTGGGCCACGGCCGGCCATTGCCGCTCGAAAGCGCTGGAGACGCTGTAGTACATATGCCAGGCCTGTAAGTGGCGCTGTAGTCTGCCACAAAAGCAGCGAAGAAGACTTCCCGCCCATAGTTACCATGGTTACCCTTCTGTTTATTCTCCGCTGTGGCTTTTTTTCTCCCTCCCCGAGGCAAGCGTTTGCTCCCGCTGCAATGCAATCCCTCCCCGTCGAGGCAAGCACTGTAATGCTCTCCGGTTAGTCCACCAGCAGATGACAAACACCCACCTCTCCGCCTCTTCCAAGGAACGAGGGGACCGTGCGGCAGAGTTTGTTAGGTTTTCTTTCGCCGGTCAAGATGTCCGTTAAAGTTGAAATCTTCCGGACAAAATTAGAAAAGTGCCGGTCAAAGGTCTTCTTTGTTATTTATTGAGCTTTAAAACAAATGAATAACGACTCTATACAATAAAACACGGAGGACGGAGATCTTTTTTTCTCCCCCTCTTGACTTGATCAGAGCACGGCTACCCTCTCCTGCAGGGGGGCGTGGTCAGCAGAATCAGCCCCGTAGACAGCAAACAGCACATAGAGCGAAATGAGGCATGGCTAAAATGCATGATCTGTTTGGTATTTTGAAAACAGAAACGTATAAATATACCTTATATAGGTATGGCCCTACAATATATCATTTAAATATAGCATGATAGGTCCACTTTAACTTTTTTTTTTTTATATAAATGATTATGGGAAGTGCCCTTTTTCTCACTTGAGCTCCCGCCCCCCAAAATGTCTGTGCACGTCCCTGGTCTCAGATATATACTAATGTATAAAAAAAACTTGTCTCTGAAGCGTTTTGCTCAAAATATCAAACAGATCACCCATTCTAGCCATGCCTCATACCCCTTTATGTAACTTCCTGTTACTAAAGTGCTGATTCATGGTATAAAGCTTTAAAAAAAAAAAAGAGAGAGAGGGGGCGGAGCTTATGCCTGCTCATGCGGGAGCCGGCTTCTTCACACATACTAGGCTTGTTTGAGACAAGCGAGACCTGCGCAGACCTGCGCAATTGCGATCAACGTCTTGCTAGTGCGTTGCATGATGGTTAGTCATTTTGTCCGACTTGCTCTGGAGGCTCGCCTACATGAGACGTTGAAATCTCGCGGGACAAAGACGCCCGCAGACTTGAGAGCGAGGCGCGGCGAGGCGGCGCAGTTTCTCTCCACGGGCTGCGGAAGCGACATGCTTGATGGGAAACGACTTGCTGGTATCTCGAGCTGAGCGCTCATTGGTGGGTTTTACCCCGTGCTGGTGATGAAACTCTCCATTGGCTCGGCAAAAGTGTGTTGTTTTGTGTCAGTTTTACGTCGCCACTTCCATTCACATTTTTCATCATTGTTCCACAATGTTTATCATCATTAAATTAATATCTATATATTTGTATACTACACTTGCACTGCTTACCGTTGTCATACTTTATATATCTTAGCATATTCATACAACACACTGTTCATACTAGGCTAGGCTACTGTGTATATAGTGTATTCATACCCCTCACTGTTTTTTCATCATTCAATTTATTCTATATTTTATTCTGTAGATTGTGTACATTACTTTTCACTTTACTGCTTTATGCACTCCTGGTTAGAAGCTAAACTGCATTTCGTTGTCTCAGTACCTGTAATCTGTGCAATAACAATAAAGTTGAATCTAATCTTGAGCAGGAACAAATGTATTTACTTAGTACATATCTGACATTAACGATTAAACACATTTGTCCATTCTTAATCAATCAATCAATCAATCAATGTTTATTTATATAGCCCAATGTCACAAATGTTACATTTGTCTCAGTGGACTTCACAGTTTGTACAGAATATCAGTATGACAATACGACACCCTCTGTCCTTACGTTTCACATCATACAAGGAAAAACTTCCAGAGAAAAACCCACAGTTTAAAGGGGAAATGAGAGAAACCTCAGGGAGAGCAACAGAGGAGGGATCCCTCTCCAAGGACGGACAGACGTGCAATAGATGCCGTGTGCATTTATAAATGCAAACCGAGTCAAGCCGACTCCGGAGGTGGCAGTATGCACCTTAAAGTTGTTTGAAATCCGCCAAAAAACCGAAAGAAGAAGAAGAAGAAGCCGACTCCGAGCTGTCCGACTTCAGGCGAGCTTTTTGAGACCTCCCCCGGCTGCGATCGGCTATTCTCGTCTACTTTCGAGGCGAGCCGCAGCTCGTCTCAAACAAGCCTACTTTCTCCAGTACTGGTTAGCTCTGAGTGTTAGCGATGCTTGCTAATGTAAACAAGACCAAATTACCTCCAAAACAGGTCGGGCATTGATTCTGATAGCGAGTTTCTGATAGTGCTGTGGGTCCACCACGTGGGTGCCATCCGAAATAACGTCATATCGAACGCAAATCTGGTCAGCTCCGTTGTACCACCGTTTTCAGAGATTTGCGCACCGAGGAAAAGAGAGAGGGTTTTATTTTCTGACACTTTGCGAGTTCCCTGACACACCAGGGACACATATTTATGTATAAAAGACATTAAAAAGTGCATTTTGCATGATAGGAGACCTTTAAGTGAATATATGTATATATATATATCTGCCCTATAAAAAAGTAATACAAAATACACAAGTTTACTTAGACCATGACGAAAATGTTATCCTTTCATAAAAAAGCAGATGAGATTTAGTGGAATCAAAGTTGCTTTTTGTTTTATAATGCTGGAGGTGAAGTGAATTCCATGAAATGTGAGAAGCAAGGGTCGGTCTGCAGATGGTGGCTCTTCCTGCGGTACTTTGCTCTCCTGCTGCTTTTCAATTAGTGCCGATAACCACCTCAACAAAACAACAGGTGATTTGTGTTACGGCCTCAATTATGTCTTTATGACCTGCATGGAACGGAAGATAGGAGCCCTGCGGCAAAGTTACGCCTCCCCCTCCACCTCATAAACTTGGCTGCTACTGGACAAGTTCACATCTTTATGTATACTAGTTAACAGTCCTTGGACGGTACCAGCCTACTCCTCTCATGGTGTTTACAGCAACTAATTAAATAATATTCCATTTGTATTATGACTTAAATGTTATACAGCTAACAGAGTCTTCAGACTGAAAACAACAACCTATTTATCTCTAGCCCCAGGACAATAGACTAAGTAATGCAAAGTAAATAAATGGCACTCAAGGGCTATAAAGATGTATCATTTGAAACACTTGGACAAGGAACACTCACTTGTGTGGTCAATCAACCAGCCACAGAGAGCATGGTCGATTCAGTGTACTTGTGTGTATGCACGATAACTAGAAATGTTTTGCCTTTCATGTTACATGGATAATCTGTCAGACAGCGACAGAGGGAGAAATTATGAGTCTTTGAGACCTGCATTGATTACAATAGGTCAACTGTACAATTAGTTGATCAACAAAAAAATACTCAACTATTTTGATTGTCAGTTCATGGACATTTTCATGCTGCTATCAGCCTCTCCAAGGCCCTGATCACAACTGGCATTAACAAGCATCTCCATATGCATTGTTGATGTTTTTATCAAGCAATGTACTTCCTATAGCCTGCCAGCAACACACGCACACGCACACACACGCGTCCTTACCCAACACCATGGTCATGTAGCGCTCCTCCACGCCCGCCTCCAGCAGCAGGGGGGGCACGTATGTGATCCCAGCTGCCACGCAGATCTCCAGGCCACAGGTCAGGGAGTTCAGCAGGACGAGACGCCACTGAGACCTCCATCCAGGCATATTTACAGCGGCTGGCTCGCCTTTCCTCTCCTCTGGGATGGACACTAGTGGGGGCAGGGGAGGGGGGAGGCACCCGGGCAGGGGCGAGCGAGGGATCGTGGAGAGGCAGATGGTAACCCGCTGGGACGAGAGGGCTGTCGGGGAGGGACAGCAGCAAAGACACGTGGATGTCTCAGATGACCTGAAGGATTCATCCTCTTCTCAGCATTCTGTATCTGAAGAGCGGGGGAAGAGAGAAAAATACACTTTTAACTATTATTGAACAACAAGGTAAAGCGCCTAATGACACACACCATAAGCCTGTCATACAGAATGAGATTTGTGCCGTTTTAGATTGTGAGAAATTGTGAGTAAGGGCTAAGGTATGCAGGTCATTCCTCAGGTTTGCGCGGGGGGGTTGTCAGCGTGACATGCTGACAAAAGAATCCCATCATGTCACATTCCAACATATTTTCCGTACATATTTTAACAGAAGAACTATCAACAGCCCCAAGGATATGCAGGGCTTGACAATAAATCAGTAATATACCATTATTGTGACATAATAATTTGTAGTGAAGTTTGTAATCTGGCATAAAATGAGGTATTTTTCTATTTCTGTAACCTGCACTACAGTCAAATTATGTAATTTTCTGAACTTACAGAACAGCTCAACCGTGCTTTTTTGCCTTTAATCACTAAGTCATGATATCCACATTACTGATTATTATAAATCAAATAAAAGCTGGTAATATTTAAGAAAGAAAAAAAATAGTGAACTCTTCAGTATCGTCACAATATTGATAAAAGTATTTGATCAAAAACATTAGATTTCCTCCATATCACCCAGCCCTAATATGAGATGAATGTGTTCTCAGAGCTCCTCCCTAACAGCTTCAGGACAGCAGGGGAAACAACAGGCAGACAGACGAGATGAGTCAGCTGGAGCGACGTTGCAAACACACCGAATCGTTTGCCAAGAGAATCCTTTTTTCCACTGCTGCTTTTCCTGCCTTTATTTAAGTCTCAAATGAGAGGTTTCAAAGATAAACCTTTAGAAAAAGGGATGTCATTTTCCCATCTCTCCCTACTACATGGACCTTTCCCTTCTTCATAATAACACCAGTATTAGTGGGAGCCTTTCCTTGGCTGACCCTGTCGTTATCTGTATTATTAAGCTCTGATTGGAGAGTCCTCCATTCTAGAATATTTTAACAGATTGCTACCATTGTTCAGCTGAGTGTGAGAAAGTCTTTAGCCCCTGAAAAGATTCTAGAAAGATAATAAGAAAAATGGGAGAGGAATGATATTAAACGTTTTGTTATGCTATGTAATGTTTGGCCAGATACAAGAACAATGACAACAAAGTCACTATGTTGTCAAGGTGATGTGAAGTCAGAGGTTGAGCTGCATCCAATCACATGAGCTTACCCCTAACCCTAACCCTGTAACAAAAAACCCAAGGTGAATCACAACAGCTTTGTCCTCGTTATTTTCTGCACTCTATCCCACAATGACAGACAAGTCAACCACACATTGTAGGATCATTTTTTCCAGTGCCAATAGCTGACATTCTCGATTACATACCGTATTGTCAACATGCCATATGTTCATCCTATCTCTGTTCTCCCACCCCCAATTATAGGCTTCAATTCAACTCATATTCAGCTGAAGGAGAGAGGTGGGACTTTCATTCTAAAGACACAAAGATCTGGCTGCCTCCACTGTGTGCATTCAGTGAAAAGTCAGACCAAGATTTCCGACATCGGCATCCACCAGCGGAGGTGTGCGTTCTTTTAAGGCGGCAGCCACACGGAGACGAAACGGGTCGTATCCGCTACAGTTCTCTATCTTATAGACGGTTCGGCCACACGAGGCCGACAGGGAAACGATAACGATAACGGGTCCCAAGGTGGGTAGATCTGCGGACGCAACGCTCTGGGGGGCCAAACGGCTCCGTGTCTACGCCCTATACGATCATTTTCTGATAACGATGACGCAATAGCCCCGCCTCTCCACACCTCTGCTGCTCACTGCTGTAGCATGGTCAGTAGCTATTGTCAGTAGCTACTGCTACTGACAATAGCTACTGACCATCTACATCTACATGCTACAGATGTTAGTGCAAAATCTACAGCTCCTCTACCACAACCATCAGCAACAAGTGGACATGGAGAACTACATGAACTATGTTGCTAAATCCACCGCGGAGAATAAACAGAAGGGTAACCATGGCAACCATGCTCGGGGGGGGGGGGGGGGGGGGGGGGGGGGGGGGGGTCTTCTTCGCTGCTTTTGGTGTATTTTGTGGCGGAAGTATAGCGCCACTTACAGGCCCGGCATATGTACTACAGCGTCTCCAGCGGGTCGGGCTGTCTTGTGTGGACGGAATACTTTTTTGATATCGAATTCGGTTCGTTTTCGTCTCCGTGTGGCTCCAGCCTAAAGCAGGAAGAGTCAGAGCAGCCGCAAATACAGGAACAACAAGGTGCTATATTTGCATTTGGTGTGACTTTTCTCAGCCAATGCTTCCCATCTGTTCTCTCTGAGCAAAATATAAATGGATTTCATCTCCAGTGAGATGTCACAGAAATGTGCTCAGATCAATAAATGAAGAGACAGAACAGATGACGTACTGTTTCCTCAAGGAACTAGAGTTGCTTCTTACAGCATAGTACTATCCGTTATTTAGTTGGACGACTTAAATGTTGTAGTTTAACACCACTAGCACAAAATACTGTCATCAGCAACGTTAGAAAAAGTACTCTGATTATTTACTTATTATATTATTTATTAATAAAACATTTAAATAAACACAAATTATAAAATAATATTATAGGAGTAAAACCTTTTTCAAGTACTTGAGTAAAAGGACTTTAACATTACATCATCAGGCATACTCTTGAGTTGTGCACATTGTTATGATCAAATATGTGAACTGGTTTCCATCAGTGATGCTATCAGAGGTTCTGCAGCAGTCACATTCCCAGCTCGGTCATTATGAGTCCTTTGATACATGCTCTTTGAGGGTCCAAAGGACAAAGCGACAGTGTTGGAGCAGTGGCCTGGGTCACTGGGAGAGAGGACCATTTCACACCCGTCAGATCCCATTCCCACCCAGCCTGGGCACTCTGAAAGGCACCCATCGGGGGACCAGCCTTCGCCCCTGCGGCCTGTCTGGCCAACACAACCCCCTGCCAACATATTCTCAGTGTGCATGTGTACATTCCCCCTCCCTCCCTCTCACTCTCCTCTGCATTTCTTCCTCATCCTTCCCCGAGCCCTGGGGTCAGCTCAGTCTCTGACCTGCATTCTAAAAGCACCCTTTTGACATATCTGTCCACGACTGGTCATGCCTTTGTGGTTTAGAATCTCAGTGAGAATGCTTTCTATTGGAGCCCCAGCTGACTTACTGTCAGAAGTTCTCACTGAAAACAGAAGCCCCCCCCCCCCCCCGGTGGCACGAATACAGAAATCTGATTTGTCTACTCAAGCGGCTGAGGCTTGTCTGCACGCCTACCCAAATGCAAGTCAGATTCCAGGGTTTTTAAATTGAATGTTTGCTTGAGTCTTGACCTGTATGGAAGGAAGCGAGAGATGAAAGACGGTGGCAAGAGGAGAAAAGTGAGAGCAGCTCACAGACACATTCATAAGTCCATTTATCCACCTCAAAGTCAAACATACAAAAACAAATCCATTTGTTTGTTTTAAATATGGTGCTCTTAAGCCAATCCAATGTTTGTGGCATTGGCTAAAACAGAACAGAGCTCTCCAGCTTGCGTTTTAGGGAGGGAGGAGAGAAACAGGCACACACTGGCAACCCACACAGTCATTCCACCACTCACTTAATGACACCTCTGACTCGGCAATGTATTCCAGTCATGCCCTTCATCGTCTTCCCATAGCCTCTGAGGCTCAGACGCATGCACACTGTTAGACAAACGGCTCTTCTTGTCACCTTATGTGTTTAAACTCTACAATCTGAGCCTTGGGGGTGAGAAGGGGGAGTGATGTGGGTGGTGGGCAGCTTTTGTCAGCTCTCCCACTGCTCCATTACCATGCCCCATTCAGCCGCAGGCCCCCCAAAAATCGCTCCTAATGACTCTGAGCAGTATTCTTACAATACAAAACGGCCTTTGTACACATTGTGCCAGAGAGAGTAATTTGATATAGTGGGGTATCAAGTCCATTTCCAAGTCTTTTATTAACGCGGTGTTCAAATAGATGGTAGGCTTTATAGAGTGTGTAGTGTGTGTGTGTGTGTGTGTGTGTGGTTGGATGGGCAGGGGTGGGGGGTCTCACAGCAGACAGCAGGGTTTTTGGGAGAGAAGAGGGAAATGAATTGCTCTGAGATGACATCAGAACCACAAGCACGGTGGATGTGTGCAGAAACCTCAGGAGGAGCTCTGGTTGTGTTTGGCTCAGGCTGAATGGCTGCAGCACCATGGCCATTCTCCCTTTTGAGTTCCGGCACAATAATGAACCCGGCCCTCTGCATTTATACACACTGCTTCCCTGGCTTACTTCCTGCAAACCTTCCTTTGTGGCTCTCCTTCTCTGCTCCCTGAATAACACCAACAAGTTAAGATGGAGCAAATCCTAATGAACGCTGCCAACAATGCTGCCATAATATCACTAGCTCAGCAGTTGTGAGCGGTGCCAACTTGGCATTGTCGTGGAGGTCATGGGAATGATGTTGAGCTTACAGGTTCCTTCTAGACAAAGTCCTCAGCATGTCCTCCGATATAAACGCCTGATGCCAGAACTGACGAACAATAAAAGTCGCAATAAACAGACCGGTGCACAAACTCAGTTAATCCAGGTAAAAGATGTTTTACATATTCTAAGATCCATGTTTACACTTTCAGTCCCACTCTGCACCACAAAATCTTCATCTTGCAGCCTCCAGGTAAAGGTGACCGCTAGCTAGCATCGAACACAAAGACCACGTGCGTTATGGCGTACCAGTGTGTGTGTGTGTGTGTATTCAGCTCAGGCTATGACTGAAGTCAGCAGAAAATCAGGTCACCCTGTTTTTTCCCCTCCAGCTACTTTTATTCTCGTCTGTACCTTTACAAAGCAGTTTCATAGAGCCCTGACACACACACACTCATTTGTTACTTATGCAAATGTCCATACATTTGCATTTAATCTAGACTTCATGTCGACTTTGTATGCCAACTAAAATGTGGTTGGTGCTATCTGAGAACACGGTTACACTTCAATGACATATCAGCTATTTACAAAGCTTCCCTTTACTATAAATAGATAATGTGTGTGTTTGTGTAGGGGCGCAAACATGTGCATCTGACCACAGCAAATGTTGCACACTACCTGACCCATCAGCCTTTATCGTCGGTGCAAAGCTATGCTAAGGGAGCTCTTTAACCCTGGTTATGATGATTCGGGGAAAACATTGCGGTAATGGGCAGGGATAAAAACGTGCCTTACCTCGTCTGCTGCAGGCTACGTTTGGGATAATTCCATACCCTAAATGTTATGATTAAGTAAAGTTTGGCACAATATGAGATGAGTAAATCTTTGGGGGTTTATTTTAACAAAAGAGCAAATATTTTCTTAAAGTAATTCGAACTGTCAGTGTTTGCACATGGAAATGTAAGCATTACCGAGAAAACTTAAAGGGCTCATGTCATGCTTTTCCAGTTATTACCCGTCCCCTTGTGTGTTATGAAGGTTTTTCTGCATGTAAACGGTCTGCAGAGTCAAAAACCCTCAAAGTACACCCTGTAGCGAGTAAAACTCGCTACAGGGAATACCTCCCCAAAACGCCTCGTTGGAGATACGTCATTGTCCATTTGATTCTTCCATTTCGTTCCGGGTACGGCATGATGTAATGCCGTACCCGGAACGAAATGGACCAATCCGTGGAGCTGTTACGTTACGTCCGCGGAGGCGTTACGTTAAGCCCCCGCTGATTGGTCCAAATTGACCAATCCACGGACTTCCTCACACACACACACACAGTGCAGGCAGCTCTGTTGATTTCTCCTCCCTGGCTGCAGGCTGATAACAGACAGTTGGGATCGCGGCAAAATTCTCTCTGCAGACCCATTCTCACAGCGTTTATCAACCTTTTTCGTACTCAATATCAAGCCACACTTATTGTTTTTACTTCGGCTGTGAGTTTGTGTGTGCTCAGGATGAGTTTGGCTGTGTTTCGCTGTGTATCGCTATACAAGGAAACAACACCACCACGGAGCTCAGCGCGATTCACAACGTCCCGACCAATCAGAACACACTGTGCTCACAGGGAGGGTGGGGGCTGGAGCTATTGGAGCTCCAACGAGCCGTTAAAGGCAGAGAGTGAAATTCAGTGAATACACGTAGTTTACAGAGATGCTGTATGAGAAACCAATGTGAGTATGGAAAATTGCACAATATAAATCTATTCTAGTATACCTCAACAATGGAATTATGATCAGTGGAAATGGCCATGACATGGGACCTTTAACATTTTCTGTGCACTTTCGTTTACAGACCTTTCACCATTCTTCCCTGTCTTTTGGTCCCTCTGCAACTCTCTCCATGTTCTTCTTAACCAGCTGTCCCACATCTCTCCTTTACCCGTCATCCACATGAGGACACCATCAGACCTCTGGCCTGACTTTCCCAAAGACACCGTTTCCTTCCATCACTCACAAATGGATAATAATAACACAGAACTTCTTTAACCTACGTCAATAAAAATGTTTAGTGTTTGATTTGTGCTCTGCCTCTTCTCAATTGAAAGGCAGCCCTGACTGTGCTGACCCTACCACCCGCCAGCCTGTAATCTTAAGCCCACATCCGTCACTGTGACCCCTGAACCTGCCTTTCACCGCAAATCATGTGACCAACCTTACATTTCAAAGACAGCGCCAGCATGCGGACGGCTGTCTGCTGCTAGTATTCTCCTCCTGTACGTTGCTACCTAGAGAATGAAAAGTGAACCTGTTGCCAGTTCTTTTAAAGTTGTGCTTCGGCAAAGAAGATACGATATAAGGACATCAATCATGTGATGGAGAGGGGAAGACAACCTCGTCTTATTTCTGGCAGGCCTAATGACACCCTTTGCTGTGCCAAAATGTGAAGTGCTCTTTCCATCTCTGAACCTAATTTGGCCGATGACTCAGATCAAGTCCCTTAAGTTTAAAAGACGACAAGAAACGAATAGTTCATGTCTCCTGAGAGAGAAATGCGTTCAGTGTTTTCAAATTCATTTTAGGATGTCATTTATGGTTATAGGAGGGAAAACTATTATCAAAGCAATCATTAGATGTCCTTCATTCACAACATAGCAATTACCCAGAACTGTTTTAAAAAGTATCCAAACACAAAAGGACTTCAACCTTGATAAAGTGAGTATCTGCTTATCCCAAGGACAGCGGATCCACGCAGGAAAACGCACACAAACACCCACACAAAAAGCACTTATCAGGGGTACGTTGGAGGAATGCAGGCTAGGTTTGGCTGCCCTGCAGTGGGATTAGCGTGTGTTTGTGCGTGTATTTGTATCAGTGGGTGAACTGAAGGAACCCTCTGTTCACACCAGAGAATGAAAACGGCTACGGCTCAGGGTGCTGACCGTTATCATACCGTCCCATGCAAATAGCACAACAATGGAGTGCAGCAGAGTTCAGTGTTGTAGCCTCTTGTGAGTCAATGTGGCTGATAACGTGCCTCCCCACAGACTGTGGCTCTCCAGTAGCTGAGAACCTTTTGTGTCAAGGTGAAAGGACTAATAGGAGGGAATGCAAACGCTAATGAGTTCCAGTCAACCATGATAAAGACTGTTTACATTTAGTTAATAGAGCAGTCATAATTTTAATTAGGTTTAATCAACAAACAGTTAATTACTGTAAGATGGTATTTGTGATCAACAGTATGTTGTTACAGGCAAGCATGAAATCCTGTTTATAAAATTGCATTCGTGTGCTCTTTTATAGGTATTCAACTAACTCAATTGAACTTACCTATATTATTATATTGTTATTACATGTTACTTGTTAGACGCTTTTATCCAAAGCGACTTACATACTCAATACTGTGGACAATCACCACAGGAGCAATTTGGGGTGAAGTGTCTTGCCCAGGGACACAACGACATGCTGACTGCAGTGGGGTTTGAACCTGTGACCCCCTGATCCGAACACCAACGCACAACCCACTGCGCCACACGCCTCCCTCCACCTAAAGATTATGTTTGTATTTGAAGTCAATAATATATATTTACTTACTTTCATTTTAGCCAAATGTAAGGGAAATGTTCCTATAATAATGATAAGGTAAGCACTTTTTAGTTCAACGTGGCATAAATTCCACTTTCCATTAAAAGAGAAACAGCTGACCTTTAACTACCATTAGCAGTTACAAATCGGAGGTTCAGGTCATCTCATACGCTACAATGAGCTCATCACATTCAGAGGCAATTCATCATGCTTGAATGACAGCAGCTAGAAACCCCAAATGCATGACTAGAAATGTGCCATTACAAAGAAATATGTTTCCTTCAGTTGATTCTATGCTGTGCATTTACACCTCTTGTATTTAACACATTGAGGGAAGACGATAAAAGAGAGTGTGATATAAAACCAAAAACATGATGAGCCACAAAGGAGTTATTTCACAAAATGATACTCACCAGCCAAAGAAGCGAAGCTCAAAAGTGTAAATGACATCTACAGAATTGCATTGGAGCATCTCATCTATTTTAGCGGCTGCTCACACTCTTTATCCAATCAACACACTCCGCTCACTTGCAGAGCATATCTGCACTGACTCTGGACCACCTGCTTTAACTCCATGCTCCAGAGTCTGACTCGGTTTTTATCCTGCTTCTGTTCTCTCTTATTTAGCCCACCTCCTTTTGCATCCCTCCCATTATTCTCACTCCCTCTCACTTGTGCCTCAGCCTGTTGTAAGGTGGGAATTGGGAAACTCCCAAAGCACATGAAGAATCCTGTCCGTCTGCGTTTGTCTCAACAAATGACATGTTTCTGCCCCCGATTTGATCTGAAAGACAAAAATACTAAAACCTTAACCTGTAGTATATTGCAGACACACACACACTCATTTGGGTTTTAATAGGCGCACAAAAGGTGGTTAGAAAAACAAAGCATGAATTGATATAATCTCACAACCCCACCCCTACTCTCACTATCTTTAACCTACCCCTGAAAGTTCTTTAATATAGCCCCTGACCCAGTATCATGTTCAGCCGCCCTATCAGGGCCGGGCCAGCACTCCCCCCTCTCTCATTACCTCCCCCCCTGCAGCCTAGTCTTAGTTAAGCCCATACTCCTGCATGACTGCTTGTCCATGGACTGCTTTAACCCTTTTCCTGGTTCACCAGCTCAGCCAGCAATAAGCCTATTTGAGTAGACGCGGACATGCACACAGCGCATACTTACACCCAAGATTGTTTGCACGCATACACACACACTTGCACACACACACCATCACTCAACCCCCGGCTGGCTGCCATGTCAGTACCCCACGCCTGGAGGCCAGGACCAGCCCTCTGTAGAAAGGCTTTTAATTAGATAACAGTGAGAAGGAAAAAAAAAGTGGAGCGGAGGGAGCTCTAGAATGGGGAGGGTGGTTAATGGTGGGAGGGGAGGGGTGTCCAGTAATGCCATTAGACTACGGCAGGCTTTAAGGAATCCCTGTTTCTGGAGCCCAGAGGCAGATCAATATGAAGACAGAGTGGAGAGCGGCTGCTGGCAGCCTCCTCTCTGCAACAGGAGCGGTTTGCCTGGAATTAAGAGAATTCTGAAAATCCCTTTTTGGAGAAAAGCCTGGCCCGACTGGCTCAGCGTGGACTTTGCTGTCCTCACTCACCGAATATGTCCTACCCCTTTAAAAATCTTATGTCCGGATAAATCCGGAACATAAACAAGCGCACAGAAAACTAATAATGCCCTTCCTTGCAAAGATATATTATATCAACGGTGTGCAATTCCACACCCGAAGTACAAATACGCATATCTTTAAGCGCACACACTCCTAGTTGTCTATTAATTAACTAGTAATGGAAGACTGCAAAATAAAATAAAAGGTATTCACATGACGTGTGGAGTTTTTCAGACAAATGTACTTCCCCAACCAGCCGACAGCTCTTTCTACCAAAGGCTCTGTTGATACATACAATGATCCTGCCCCAGAACCTTTCAAATCTTCAAATTGTTGTTCTCAGATGTTTGTTAACATAGTGTACTTGACTATAGCTTTTGCTAGAGATGCTTTAGCAATCTGGGCAGGCGCAGAAGGCTTTAATTCCACGTTAGCCTTTCCACAAACCAGACTTTCTTCAGCACTGGCCAAACCCTACGTGCCCATAATAAGCTACAACACACTGCTCTCCGCTTTGATAAACCAAGGAAACCAAAACAGTGTGTCAGAAATAGAATTCAGGGGCCACTTCTCTTGGCATAGCAGCAGGATCCCAATAAAGCCTGAATGTCACCCACATTACACATAGCAAGAAGGATGAGACAGATCAATCACTCATTGTGTGCTCTCCCAGCAAATTAACCTTTAAGTAAATACGTGACGTTGATGCTTAAACACAGAGCTTCTACACATACATAGCTTTTAACATGTAGCGCCCTCAGGATTAGCACTACTCCAATGACCATAAGAGCACATGACAGTTAACATTCTCCAGGAGTTATCTATACTAGGACATAAGATAGATTGTCCAAGAGTCTTCTATAGTCCCTAAAGGCTCAAGAATCCTATCAGTGGTTTTTTTACACACCGCCACAGGACTGTCTCAACTAACCCGCTATTATTTATAATGAAAATGTAATTATGCAATGTTGAATCGATCCTTTAAGCTGCACCGAGAGGCAAACGTGGTGCATCCCAGGCCTGCACAGAACTGCTTAACACGTTTGTTCCTGCGCCTGAGAAGAGAAGAAGAACTCGTAGCAACAAAGATAACTTCGGTTTCTAGGGTTTTTCCTGCGTACCGGATTTCAGGACGGAAACATGTGGCACTTTTTAAAATCTGAATGAAAATTAGACACGTGTCGGCGAGATATGCAGGGTTTTCCCCAAAGAATGCAGTTTCTATTTTGATATGGCTGCGCATATATGTAGTTAGTTTAATTAATGTAGACATTTATAAAAAGAATAACCTTGGAAGCACCTATTTTCATAACAGAGAGGACATATGCTCTGTACATATTTTATCTCATTTCAAACCACAGTTAAATAATACATATAAGCATCACATAATTACGCCGAGATTTAATTTAAACCCTTTTAAATCTAATGTAGTTAGATGTGACATCTGACATAGCATTAAGTAAGCGTAAGCGCAGACAGATTCAGACTACTCAGACGTTGATAAGAGGAATGAGTGAAATTCTGAAATGGCTGCAAGGCCATAAAAACAGTGGTGAAGCAAAAAGAAAAGAACAAGATCAGGGTCTGAAACAGCTTTAAATGCTTGTTCAAACAAAAGACTCCAATAAAAAAAGAACCATCGTTGCATTTTAAGGGACCATTTTTTCCCTGCTGATGCTGAAGATATCCCTCACGGCCATATTGCATTTAAGGGTCTTTCACGCCCTGTTTAACGCAAGACTCATAAATATATTGGGCAGCCCTACCTGATCGTTTGTGCAAACATTTAAAAAATGCAGCAAATGTCAAAGAAAGCATGGAAAAGAGTAGCAGTATGGAGTCACAGGAAGTAGAGGGCTGAAAGACATTAAGGATGGAGGAAATGGTGCCAGGGAGGCACTTCCAGCTGTTTCTCAAGAAACTCAACACACCAAGGTCATGAACCCTCCAGCTGCATGGATACAGTTAATACTGCAGAGCAAAGAGGACTGACAGACTTAAGGACAGATGGACATCAACAGGTCCATCTCCTTTTTCCAGCTGTTGTCAGAGCAGTAGTGGCCCCAAGGCACAATGATTAACGCCTCATTCAAATGCTACACAAACCAGATGGTAGAGATAGAAGAGATAGAACACACACACACACACACACACACACACACACACACACACACACACACACACACACACACACACACACACACACACACACACACACACACACACACACACACACACACACACACACACACACACACACACACACACACACACACACACACACACACACACACACACACACACACACACACACACACACACACACACACACACACACACACACACACACACACACACACACACACACACACACACACACACACACACACACACACACACACACACACACACACACACACACACACACCACACACACACACACACACACACACACACACACACTAATGCAGCCTGTATGCTTTAAAAAAAAAACATGACAACAGCAGCATAAAAACACAATTACGTTTTACAACGTTACTATATTTGCATTCACAACCCATAAATGAAGACTAAAAGGCAGAAGGCTACCCGGGGCGTGCTGGGTAAATAAGAAATGTCAGTCATCAGCTCTACAAGACGGAAAGCTTGCTACCAAAAGAAACATGTAATCAAGACAAATCTTTCCTTCGTTTAACATCCTGTCCTCTAAACCTCGGACAGGACGCTCATTTCCAAACAACACAAACGAAACATTGTTTACCATCATTTTGGATGGAACAGTCCATTAGATGTGGCTTTGTGCATCTGTTTGTGTGTTGCGCATGAGCAGCAGCCTTTTCACACATATGTGAGCCCATCATGGCTGTTCTCCAAGCCTGCTGTGTAAAACATTTCTGACAAAACACTGAAGTGGCAGGACGAGGCATCAAAGCACACACAACACATATTGACTCAAATCATAAGCTTGATCCTTTCACAAGGCTCAGAGTATCTCACATATCAAAGGTCTCGCTCAAACACTAAATAGCATCCCTTTCAGCTTGCTACATGAAAGAGAACACTGTGGTGTCTTATAATATGCCGTTTTCCCATTCACAGAGACAAACTTCAAAGAGGGCTTATACAAGTTGGAAACCTTTTACTGTCTCCCTCGCTTGGTGATTCCTGGTAGCTTTAGTAAGACTATTATCAGCGAGGTTGCAGGGTCATTCATAATATGGCACACTCTCTAGCCTTCTTTAGATCAGCTTCTTCACACACTCTGTGGGGCTTCTCTGGCTTCAGTCAAAGACAGAGTGTGAATATGTATTACAAACATCTGGCCAAGTCCTTATCACCATGGGAAAATGTCTCGGGACAAGCCCGTGTTATCCCCGCCCCAGGGCCCGTCTCATCTGGACTTGGACTGTGGCTCAGCAGCCATGTCAAACTCTCAAGTAGCCTTTCTCATTACTGGTGAATTACGGAAGAGCAATAGGCTCGTTTGCCGTGTGTTCCCCTTTCTTGCGTGAGAGCTGGACCTGAGGCTGTTTTGCCTCCAATGCCACGCAGTTCCTTCCACACTTGAACCACGTGGGCAGAACTAAGTAAGGTCGGTCAATTGAATTAGGAAAGCAGAGTGAAACAACGCAAATAGAGTCAGACTGTTGAGTCTGTTGTTCTCCTTCTCTAAAAGAAGTGAGCACTGCCCTTGTGGCTACAATTTTCCAAAAGTTTAGTTAATAAAAGAGGATCCATGCTATATTAAACATTTACAAAAACCAGACGCAAGGCACTGATATAAGATGTGTTCTTACTCTGAACTTGTTTGACCTGTAGAGTTACACTCACATTATGGGTTTACTTAAAAAGAGTATATGCACAGATTGAACATTGCATTCCTATAACATTGCTGGACTCTCATTGCACAGCGCCTACGTTAACCACAATGCAAGGCAAACGCCAACAGTTTGGTCTGAGATTTAAGTTTGTTATGATGGTAGCTGCTACATGTGCAACCATCCCTGGGATTTATGACTCAAATGTATGAACACAAGAGGAAAAAGGAGCAAAGAAGAGACGTGGTTCTTGGTGAATCCTGAGATCAGTCAGAGGCCATTTGGAGCGAAAAAATAACTGATAGGAAAAACACTCTAATGGCCGATTTCACATGAATAAAG